CCCCATTAACACAAAACCACTGCAATTCATTTTGATAAGATTTTTTTTATTCTTACATAAGTTTTAGGCTGTACCCTTAGTACCCCTGATGTGTAAAATTGTCTGGCATTAGACAGAGTAAATAATAAAGTAAGTTGAATCTGGGCAAAACACCTTTCCTCATTTTCTCAACACATTTTCTCATCCTGGTACTTTGTTTATTGCCAGATAACTTTACTTGTCAACAAAATATATTGGGTATATAATATGAAATTTAATTGGCGTATGAGTATCATGCTCAACTTCACTTTTCAGTTAGCTTGATACTGATAGTCGGGCACCATATATTTAACTAATAAAACTTTTATCTGGTATATGTCAAACCTTTATGGTATTAATAACAAGACAAATATATTTGTATATTTGATACTGCAATGTACTTTCTAAAAATCAATTCATCGCACGGTCCTTTCATTAGCAAGTGAAATGTTCTGTTCCATTAACCTTACCATTATATTACTTCCAGTGTGTGGTTTTAAATGCTGTCTGACTGTCTCGAGAAATCCTGGGTAATATTTTTGAACAAATCATTTCGGTCGACACAGTCCTTGTGTGAAGAAGCCAACAAATTGTCAGTGCCAGTGGTGTCCTGAAAGCAGTACTTCCATTTTGGAGGAAATTTCCTCTTTAGAGGAAATTTTAACTAGTTGGAGGAAATTATAAGGAAATTCGGATTTGGAGGAAATTTGGAGGAAATTTTGGCTCACTTGTTCTATGACCGCTATTAAACGACATGCTGCGAGCCAAAAACATCAAGCAAGGATAAAGATGTCCGCTACAACTGGCTCCATCGCCCAACTAATGCGTCAAACAACAAACTCTGATGCGACGACTTCGATGGAAATAAAATTATGTGCGTTTATTACCCAGCATAACTTGCCATTGTCAATCACGGAAGACATAGTCGAACTACTTCGATCTCTTTTTCCAAATGATGCTGCGTTAAGTTATTTAAAACTTGGAAAGCAGAAGGCCACGAACATCGTGCGCCAAGTGCTCGGTTTTGATTACCTCAAGGAAATGGTGGCATTGTTGCGATCACGAAAGTTTAGTGTAATCATCGATGAAGCAACGGACAAAAGTGTCAAAAAGCAACTGGTCATCATTGCTACGTTTTTTGACATTGAGAAGTTCGAGGTTCAGTACTGGTTGGCAGATATGATCGAAACTGAAGATGGTAGTGCAACTGGGATCTATGCAACTATGAAAGAAGCCTTTCTACAGCACAACATTCCTATGAGAAACATCATAGGTTACTCATCCGGTACCACAAATGTGATGTTTGGACAGTATAACTCCGTTTCGCAGTTACTCAAATCAGAGTTTAGCTACGTCCAACTCGTGAAGGGTTCATGTCACCTTATCCATCTCGTATCATCTCATACTGCATTAAAACTACCCAAAGGTGTGGACGATTTATGCAGAGATGTATATGCGCATTTCAGTCGATCTTCTAAAAGGCAAGACGTGTATAAAGAGTTCCAGGCCTTTTTTAATGCCCAACCGCTCAAGATTCTATCACCCGCGCAGACACGGTGGCTTTCTTTACAAGAGTGCGTAAACCGACTACTTGAACAGTTCGAGGCGTTGATCGACCCGCTATTACACCTTGACTGCCAACGAAGACCCATCACACCCAAACGATCGCATTTTGGCATCATTACAGAATCGTTTTACCCAGGCGTATCTGGAGTTCTTAAGCTATCAACTCGAGCGTCTTAATGCATTTAACAGATTGTTTCAGAGCGAGCGTCCTCTCCTCCACATACTAAAACCAGAAATAGAAAGCCTTATCAAGCCAATTGCCTGTGACTTTATGAAAATCGACATCGTAAAGTCAACGTCGCCAAACAAGCTAAACCCAACTGACGTCAACCAACACGTACCATTAAGCGAGACCTACGTTGGCCTTACTAGCGTTGCAGGGAAAGCTGATGTTGATAACTTCCTAACGACCTGTAAGAATTTTCTCATCGAGAGCATTCTACAAATCCAAAGTCGATTTGACTTAGATGATCGATCCAGTTCACGAAATCGTTCAGTGCCTTTTACCGTCCAATGCCGTTGCACTCAAGCCTCGTTCATTGAGAAGCATTTGTCAGAAATTACCATACTTGAAAGATACCATCGACCTCAACAAGCTTGATATGGAGTGGAGACAACATGCACTTGAGCCAAAGGCAAAGCCTGAACTTCACTGGGATGAATACTGGTTAAACATACGGGACACAACGACCCCAACAGGCGAAGCAAAATATCCACTGTTGATGGCATTTGTTAGTATTCTGGCTTCACTACCGTTTTGAAATGTATCTGTTGAAAGAATTTTTAGCCAACTTAAGCTGGTTAAAACGGATCAGAGAAATTCTTTGAAATCGACGTCATTGGTTTCCTTACTTCAGGCGAAGATGAGAATGAAGAATGAGCACTTAACTGCTGCCAGCTTAAAAGTTCATAAAGGAATGTTGGAACTAGCATCCAAGATGAAGTCATACGCCACTGACGAAGAAACAAAGGAATTAAGAAAATAATTATTAAGTAAACTGTCCTAATAATGAATATTTTTCAAATATTCGTTTGCTTTATTGTTTTATATTGTTGACAAATGACAGTGTTAACTGTAAAGTTTGGTGAACAAATTGGCATTGTTCTGGTAACTACTATTTAAACTAAACTAGTTGTGTAGTTGACATATTATTTATATTATTGAATATTTGACTCTTATCAAACTATTGACCCTTCTAAGTTAGACTTCTATATATAAAATATGAGTTAAATTGTTAAATAAAGTTTTCAAGTCTCGGATTTTCTGCCGAGCCTTATTTCTAAAAGTCCTAAGAATACGGCAATTTCCAAGGAAATGTGCTGCAAAATATGCTGAAAATCCAGTCCTGCGAGATGTAAAATCTGAACATTTTCTGGGGGAGGACCACCAGACACCCCCCCCCTGCTTAATCTCCTTCGTGTTAATCTACGTAAACTCTTTGTCTCTCTCTCTCTTGATAATTCAACCTTTGTAACGTCTATGTTCCTTCTAGAACAAGAACTACCCTGTTAGTCGAGATAAATTACTATAAAATCAGTTTAAATTAGTTAAAATTCAATAACTTTTATTGCGAGGAAATTTTTCCAAAAATAAGGAAATTTCCAAGGTTTTGAAGGAAATTATGTTTTTTGAAAATGGAAGCACTGCCTGAAAGGTTTATCGACGAGACAAAATACAACATTTAAATATAATACGTGTTTTAAAAGCATTTCGTTACATTTTAATACAATAGTGAAGATTAATCCAATTCACGAAAATACACAGCCATGTTGATTATGCGAATTTTGCTAGGCCTTCCAGCGCGACCCAGTTCGGATATAATTCCGAAGCTGACAGCCCGCAAGTTCACGACAGCCTGTAACTCGCCCGCGCTTGAAAGGCCAGGGACACAGAATAAGGCACCAGGGGAGCCGGAGCCATGGGGGCAGCGGGGGCAACTGCCCCCGCTGCCCAAATATTGCGGGGGCAGCACGGGGGCAACAGGTTGCCCTTTTTGCCAGAACTGCACCTCAACATTTGTGCATTATTCGCAGAAATTGGAATTTAGAACTATTTTTAAGCAATATTTAAAGATGCGGTACAGTCCGTATGTGAACAAAGGCTTTGTTTACATTTCGGTATCCAAAATATAGAATTTTATTCGAAAACTATTTATATTTTCATGATTCTAGACTAGAGTATGATCCATTACACAACAATCACATGACACAACAATCAAGCTTTGCAAGAACATAAAATGAAATGAAAACGTAAATAAACTGTTTGTATAATAAAAAGAGGGCTCGATTCTATGTGCATATATAATAAGCATCTTTAAGCAATCTTTGCTTAATTTTAACC